CGCGAGGCGCGGCTGCTCATGGAAGCCGAAGAGAAGCGAACGCGGCAGATCCTGTCGGCCGAGGCCGCTGCCCGGTACGCGGCCGCCGAGAAGGAGCGCAAGCGCATTGAAGCCGAGGAGCGGCAGCGACTGCTCGAGGTGCACCGCGCGCAGATGGAAGCGCAGAAAGCTGCGGAAGCCGCCGACCTCGCGCGCAAGCTCACGGAGCGCGAAGCGCGGCTGAAAAAGATGAAGGAAGAGGCGGATCGCAAGGTGCGGGAAGAGTACCAGAAGAAGGAGGCGGCCAAGCGCGCGGAAATCAACCAAGTGCGCCAGCTGCAGCAGCAGCAGACCGAGCGCGAGCTCATGGAAGCCGAAGAAGAGGCCGAGCGAGACCGGCTGCGCAAAGCCGCCGAGCAAGCGGCGATCCAAGAGCGGATTCGCGCAGAAGAGATCAAGTGGAAGGCGTGGGAGGAAGCGGAGGCGATCAAAGAGGCGGAGGCCCTCGCGGCGCGGCGCGCGCTACTCGCCGCGCAGTACGAAGAGGACAAGGCGCGGCGCATGGACCTCCATCGCGTCCGAAAAGAGAAAGAAAGCCGACTCAAGAAGATGACCGAGCCCGAGACAGCCGTGTCGCCCGTCACGGACCCAGCCAACAAAGGTTCCGTCGGTGGCTTCCACAGGCTGGCTACGACGGCGCGTAGGTATTCCCAAGGTCGGCTCGTTTGTCGTAAAGCCGGCTCCCGACACCATGGTGTGTGTGTTTCAATACGGTGAGTGCAGACGTGTCCTAGGAGTGGCGCGATGTGGCGGCGCTGAGCAAGGACCAACTGCGCGACGAGTTGGCGACGTGCGCGCAGCTCAAAAAGTCTCTCAAGCAAGAGATCGTCGCGTGGTGCGAGCCTCCATTGTCTAATGCCAGTACTGTAGCCAAACCTCGACTTAGGTGCGACTCATTTCAGGCCAAGATGCACCGACCACCGTCACTGGAGGAGAAGCAGGAAATCCAGCCGCTCTATAAACGCTACAGCGAAGTCGAGAGCCATTTCCGCGCGGTCAAGGCGCGTCTCGACGGCGACGCCAAGCTCGTACCCGTGGCCGAAGTGCCACCCGTCAAAAGCTCGAGCCCGACCAAACTGCCACCAACCAACGATGCCCCGAGCCTGCAAGTCATTCTGGTACAACGAGATCCGACCACCAATAGGTGGTGTCTGACGTCCGAGTATACAGACGAATCGCAAGCGCGAGGTCAAAAGGCCATCCAAGACTGGACATCGGCGTTTCAAGCTGCCCACGGCCACCTCCCGAGTGTCCAGGACAAGAAAGAAATCTTGTCCTTGTACGAAGACTATGCCAAGATTGACGCGCAGCTCAAAAACCTCAAGTACCGTCAAAGGATATATGCTTAATGACTCATGGAGGGACTAGGTATACAGTCGTCAGCGTCGAGGTGCCGACACCGCACAAAAAAACTCCAAAAGCCGGTGCACTCGACATGAATGCAATCAAGGAGATGGCGGCCAAGCAAGCGGGCTTGACGGCCAAAGCACCCGCCAATCAAGTCGAGCGACTCGAGACGAAAAAGCTTGTCAGCGACGACAATCAGCCAGGGGCCGGCTCAGAAGACACCAAGGCACCGAGAGATTCGATTGGCGACCCTGAAGCGCCCGAGCCGACACCGTCCGAGCCGGTCGAAGAACCCTTCCCTAGCGCACCTCGAGTGCTCGATCGCGAGTCAAACGTTGCAGAGACAAACGAGCCACCAACTGCAGTGGTGCCGGCGTTGCCTAGTGAGCCTGAGGGTCCGAAGGAGAGGCCTGTTTCGAAGGAGATGTCAGTCCCATGGGCGAGTCCGGATCTAGATGACAACCTCCAGACCGTGTCGGTAGAAGATGCGGCGACAGATGCAGTCGAAGTCCCAGAGGACTCTGCAGAGACGACAACATCGCCCTTCTTGGTTCCAGAGGTACAGCCAACACCCGAGCCAACGCCGCTTGCGAATGCCTCGTCAGCACCAATCTCCGATGTCAGCGAGCCAGCGTCGCCAGCCGCCGAAGCGAACGAGTCCACGTCACTGACTTCAGCACCCGTATCCGATGCAATCGAACCAACGCCGCTGGCGGACGCCATGTCTGCACCAACGGTCGATGGAAGGGTGACTGCAACTGCTGCACTGCAACCCCCACACGCCTCAGCACCGCAGCCGGCATCGATCGACTCGACAGTTCTAGGTGACACGCCGCCGAGCTCGACCGACGCACCGCCACCGTCGGGCGTAGCGACACCTCGATCCATTGTCGAGAGCAAAGCGGAGGCCAGTCCAGCTGAATCGGCGACCGAAGCCAGTGCAGTAAGCGTCGACAACCAAGTGCCACCGCCTGGAGTCACGCTACCCGAGTGGCTGGCGCTCGAGCTCAACGTCCTCGATGCTCTCGACGACGCGTCTCCTGACGCCGAATCGGCGTTAGAAGCACGGCTCGACACCGTGGTCGCAGCCATCCAGGCGCAGACTGAGGCTGCACCCGCGTTCCTTCGTGTCGAAACGGTCGAGGCCGCATCGCCAGCGTCGTCGGCCAACGTGCTTCCCAACGACCTCATTGTGCGGTTCGGTACTGTATTGCGGGACGCATCTCAGCCAACGAGTACATTGATCCGTGACGTGGTATGCCCAACATGTCTGGCGGAAGAAGCGTTTAAAACCGCACCGTATTTTCTGTAGGTTTGCGCTTGTCAACGCCCGGGCTGCCACGG